ATATATATATATATATGTACCAAGAATTCCGAGGTCATCTGTTAATAGTGTAATTTTACTGGGATGTTTTCACAAGTCGGCCATGCCCGGCCCATCGATCCGCAGTTAAATACCTTCGTAAAGTATCCATCCCCGTTCGATTTGTGTCTGCCATCTCCTCTAGAACTAATATGTGAATGTTTTTTTGTTTGTTGTTTTTTGTGAGTACCATTCTTTAAAACGACAAGTCGGCGATTGTGTCGATAAGACAAGCAATATGCCTTTCTGTCTCTCTCTGTTTTTCTACATATATAAATGTGTATGTGTGTATATGTATGTGTACATGTATGTATGTATATATGTATGTATATATATATATGTATATGTATGTATATATGTATGTGTATATGTATATATGTATGTATATATGTATGCGTGTATGTATGTATATATGTATGTATATGTATGTATATATGTATGTATATGTATGTATATGTAAATATGTATACATGTATGTATGTGTGTATGTATATATGCGTGTATGTATATATGTGTGCATGTATATATGTATTTATGTGTATGTATGTATATGTATATATGTATTTATGTATGTATGTATGTACGTTCGTATGCATATTTGTTTGTCTGTATGAGCTCAGTGCTGCTCAGATTTAAAGCGTCTAATCCTTGTCCGCTGTTAAAGTTCACGATTTAATATTTTCCACCTAACTCTCCACTGGATCTTAAGCTGTGGTCTAGGTAAATGAGTAAATTTGTATTCAAAGTATTTGTGAAGGATTTTGCCCGCTTAGACAAAATAATGCGAAAAATGAGCGCTATTACTCATGCCAAATGTGATTTTTTTTTTTTTTGTATTTTGATGCTTGAATTGATTCACATTTTACATTTACTGTTGTGTATTGCAGGAGTGGGCAAATCGTGTCTTCTGCTGCAGTTCACGGATAAGCGCTTTCAGCCGGTGCACGACTTAACAATTGGTAAATTCACGGCATTTTGCTCTGTCATCTGAGCATCGTCACTTTTTATTTTTCGAGAGAAATCACATTACTTGTCGGGCATATCTAGCTGTCGGCCTACCCTCATGTTTGATCGCACTCGCTAATTCGTTTTCGCTAGGGGAATTGTTGTGAGCACTCCGATAATCCTGTGCTTCTAATAGTTTTGTTTATCCGAAACAGCTGTTAATTCATGTCCTAGTGCTCGACACACATACACCAAGAATGTCTCGAAACTGCGCTAAACCCTTTCCAAGTGCGTCTGCCCGAAGAGCAGCTTGCGGGATCTAATCTCACAGATTTTCTAATTTTCATTTTTTAGCTTCCTTACCCTTTTTTCTTCGCTTTTTTCTATTCTTTCCTACTCTAACTTTCTCTTGAACTAGTAATCCCATCAAAAAAAACGAAGCGACCATGAAAATCGCCAACAGAATGACTATCAGACAGCGCAGCACTGATCAGAACAACAGTGGGAATAGGAAGGTTGTCGGCTGCGTAGTGGACCAAAAGATTATTGATTATATTCGAAAAAAAACTCGTGATAATAATCTCAGAAACCTTCACAGCTGAACCTTCAGTTAGGCCATCCAAGTAAAATTGCAACCGGATGGCCCATTTTGACACCAAAAATTGACTTATAAAGGCAATCATAAATATGGTAATCTATTTAACCGAAAATAGTAAAAAAAATTATGTTTTTTAATATATAATTTGATTGATTTTTTTATATAATTTGGTTTTAATATATAATATATAATTTGATAATTAATGCTGCTTATGATAGCATTAATTTCCCTTCTGATGGTTACTTACCGTTAGTTGCCCCTTTAGCATTTTTGCGTTTTTTTGGGAAAAATATTGATTGGATTTAAGGCATTAGGCCCATTTTAGTGCAGTTGGAACATTATACCAATATATATACATACACGTATGAATGATGAGTTCATCGTTGCTTACGTCATTTTGCTGCTATTCGGTGTGCTTTGGTGCCACCAGTACTTCGTTCAGCTGTTCATACAGCAGCATTATTGATTGTTTGCACAGTGTGCAAAAAAAAAAAAAAATGATGCACGCCGATCTCCAGCGATAGCCGGCACTAATTATCAAATTATATATTGGAAAATATAATTTTTTTTTTATTATTTTCGAACAAATACATTATCGATTTCTTTTATAAGTCAATTTTCGATGTCAAAAAAGGCCTTCTGATAGGGAATTATGCTTGGTCAGGCCTTTAAAAGGCAGTGCACGCACAACGAACAGCACAAGGCACTAATTGAGGATATGGTTTAGGATCGAAGGGCCTGACGTAGCTGAGTCTAGTCTGCAGAAGTTTCCCGACTTCACCACAAATATGGAAGTTGCCATAGCGATTGCCCAGTAGTCTTGGTAATTACTGTTTTTGTCACGGCAGTGCTGTATGTCATCCACCCAAAAAAGGAAAATCATCAGGATTGCCATCAGATCGATGACGATCGATGCAGCACCGTTCAGAACAACTGAAAATAAATGACCTGCGCACCGACTGTTGGTGCGAAGATGCGTTTTTTACATAGTTCCCCGCAGGTTTTTGGCGCTGACGGCACCGGTTTTTCCTGCAAATGTTTTTAACTGTGATAACTGAGACTGACCACCAATTGGCTGTCTAAAATATCCCTTTAAAATTTCTGCTTTCTAGCTTTTCTGGTTTCCGAGTTAGCAATTTACTCGCGAAAGACTTTTACGGGCCCGTACATTGGACCCACGTATACCCGGGGTCTGGGCATGGACTCAATAAGAGCTACGTAGACGTGTAACATCCCCGTAAAATTCCGGTCTTCTAGCTTTCCAGATGTCCGAGTTAGAGGCTTCCCTGCCAGAAACTTTGGCGGGCCCGTACGTGAGTGCTACGAGGGTGACAGCGCCCATTTTGGTGATTGGAGCCCGTATGTGCATGTAGATTAATCTCCCAGAATTCCAGCTCTTTTGTGGGTCTTGAGATGAAAAATCGGTACAGATACACACACAGACAACTCCTCGTCTGTATGCTTTTTCTGCATTGGATAGATGCAAAAAAACGCAAAAAAATTGTCTGGAGGGTAAAACTGTGAATTAAATTACAGCTGAACCATTTGTTCCAGCTGGGTCGAGAAATAACTATATAAGGCGACATTTTTGAAAATTTGATTTCATTCTATAGGAAGCAGTGCCGTCTTCTGATCCTTTCCCGTTTTAAAAACTTATGTACGACTCAGACTCAAAGCCCATTGTTGTTGTTTTTTTTTTCTTTTTTTTTGTTTATTCCCTCTGAAATAATGTGCTTGGCATTTTGGTGAAACTGTTTAGGTGTGGAATTTGGTGCTCGTATGATCACCATTGATAGCAAACAAATCAAACTTCAAATTTGGGATACTGCTGGTGAGTTCATGCATCATCATTTCATCGGTAATTTCATTCATCTGGGATTTCTTGCTACTTGCACATGGTAGCAATTTTTTTTTTGCAGGACAAGAATCATTTCGTTCGATCACTCGTTCATATTATCGTGGTGCTGCAGGCGCACTTCTTGTATATGATATTACACGGTTGATTTTTTTTTTTCACATTTGTACCGTGAAAATTCCGGAATTTTTTTCTTGAAAATTTAAAAGATGGTGTTATTTTTTAGGCGCGACACATTCAACCACTTAACTTCGTGGCTAGAGGATGCACGACAGCATTCCAATTCGAATATGGTTATTATGCTTATCGGGAATAAAAGGTTAAATTTTCGCTTTTTTTTTTCTATCCGTTTAAAACGCTTTTTCAAGCAATTTTCGCTTTTTTTTCCACTTCTATTCATTTAAAACGCTTTTTCAAGCTACTGGGTAAATTTACACATATTGAGTCACATCGAATGGTACTGATTTTCTGAGGCAACTTGAATGAAGCATGCGATTCATATCACCACCCTTTCACCGGTGTTTTGTATTTTGCAGTGATCTGGAAGCACGTCGAGAGGTTAAAAAAGAAGAAGGTGAAGCATTTGCTCGTGAGCATGGTCTGATATTCATGGAGACATCTGCTAAGACTGCAGCTAATGTCGAAGAGGTTATGTTTCTTGCTTACCGCTTCTGTAGGCCATAACATTTCAATCCATAAAAAACACTCATATACTTCAATTTATTTAATACTTCACTCATTACTGTGGCTTTTCAGGCATTCATTGACACAGCGAAAGAAATTTATCGAAAAATACAGGAAGGCGTCTTTGATATCAATAACGAGGTTTGTTATAGGTTCACTAAAGTCTGCTTGCAGAGATCTACAGATCTAAAACCCGCAAATTTGCCTAAACTTTTTTAAAAATTGGAGTAGATGTTCAAAAATTTTGTCAACAGATTTGAGTTTATTCCTTCTGTGGTGAAAGTACAAGTTTCTTTCCGACCTTGAATTTTTTGGAGTTCCCTGGTTGTTATAATTAACCGCAGTTATTCTTGTCAGCTAGAGGTAACAATAGGTATATTTATGCGATAGCAACAACAATAAGGAAACGGTGGAAGGTAAGGTCTGATGTTGGCGGACGGCGTCCTGATGTTGGTAGATGGCGTCTGGTCGGTACGAAAACAAATGTTGATACTAAAAATTTGTCGGAAGAATCGGCTGCTGAGCCCATCTGGAGCTCCACCTCGCTCCAGCTGAGTCCAGTTCACAAAAAGAGCTGCATACATAATTAATGTTGGTGCCGTTGATTGACGACGGCACTGTTACCACAAAGGAGGCTGCGGTATTGCAAAAGCATAAATTTATGTAATTTATGTATCTCTTTTGCTTTCTTCGTTCCCTTTCCCTATTCGAGGCGCTTTTCGTCGACACCTTCCTTCCTGAAGTTGGCAGATAAACTGGAACTTTAAAGTGGTGCTACAAGTCTGCTTGGGCAGCAGTGGAGAGTGATAGCTGTTTTAGGCGAATGGAATCAAACTTGGTCCGCAGCATTCTCCGAGTTCACCAACTTCACCGGGTGGCAGCCAAACTTTAGGCGGTTCGAGCAGTTGCTGCTAATTTTGGCCGGATTTACTGGAGCGTTTTTATGGACTGTGATTTAGTCATGATTGCCATCTAATTCGTCTATTAACTTGTAAATTCGAATTCGTTCTTTTTATTATTACAATTTCTTAGTGTTTCTTTGATGCACCATATATTTTCGTCCAGCGCAATTTTATGGACCTTAGCCAAAAACTGTTTACACATTTTCATATCCACAGCTCTTGAGCTACTTGCGTTGTAAGCTTTTGTACATACAGCTGCGGTTGTGAGTTCCTGCATACTGAGATAAAATAAAGTTTCTTTAATTTCTCGGAAGACGCAAGATGAGCTGGTGTTTCTTGTGTTGTTTCGAAAAGTTATATTCTTAACGTTTATAATGCTGAATTCTCACTGTGAGGGTGTCTTAAATCAGTTAAATGGAAATGTATTTTTCAACTTTCCTCCGTTGAAAGGTTTATTCTGCATCAGTCCCCGCCGCCTCGCCCCTCTTCCTCCTCACTGATAGTGTCTTCCGTCCGGAAAATTCCTATCTACACACCCTGGATTGTGAGATTAATGAAAACAATTTAGTACACCCCGTGGCTCATTGTCAGTGCACCACGTTACGTGTTCACTGATTTCTTCCGCTGATCACTGGATGAGTAATTATAAAATTATGTAAAGCTTTTCAGGCTTTATCCTGACTTTCTTTCCCTCTTGTTTGTTTTTTTGGTCCCGAAACCTGTATCTTTCACTCTGTCTTCTTTTTGCTGCTTTTTTTTTTATAACGACGTTTCCTCTTTGTTTTTCTATTAATTCAATGTAATCATTGCTCTGTGATGTGCGTGCGTGTTTGTTCCCTTGGTAGTGTTGCTGTTTGTTTTGTACAAAATAAATTTCATATTTGGTGGACAAAATAATGGCACTAGCAGTAGTAAAGTGGATGCTGCAATCCACACTTCGATTGTCCGAGGCATCTTGGTATCGCAAAACATTTGTTCCTTTTTTCTTTTCCTTGCTCTTTACAAAAATCAGGTGATTATTTCGATTACTAGTATATGAACGCTTCATAAATTTTAATTGAGGACAGGTGTGCATAGTTAATTCGCTTGTAGGACGCGTAAATTACGAGATTGCACAAGTATTATGTGAAAAGGCCCCTGACCTTTACATGGAGACGGAGGCCTGCATAGGAGCTGAATTTAAGCTTACGGGATCATACATGGACAAGAAACATCTTCCTGAAATTTCAGCTCCCGACCTTTTCTGATTCGTCAGCAAATTTTGCACGAAAACCCCGCTGATTACCGGTTAAAAGGTTGCCAGACAGGGAACCCTGGTACCGCCTTGCTCCGGAGGTGTAATTTGGATATTTGTCGTAGCCAGATAGGCATCAGTCCTGCCCAGCTGCGCAGCTTCTAAAAGGCTTTGTGTCTTTCGCTGAGCGCATTCCTTCCTTCAGTAAAAATTTTATGTGATGGGGTTGG